TTTTGTTGGTCAACTCCCAAGACTGAAAAAGGAAGCCAATGTAAAATACCAATAAGTGTATCCTTTGAAATCTAGTTCAGTCTGCCTCCTAAATACAGTCCATTGCCATAGACTCCTTTGTTAAAATGACATCTTTACAAGGTTAAGAAACTTTACATGCTTCATATATGACTTACATGGTCCACAAAACTGGGCATCTCTATGGATAGCTTCCTTCATAATAACTGTAATATAACTGCACTGTACTTTTGTGGGCTATGGGCATGGCCACTTTGTTTTGGGGAAACCTGCCAATCAGTTTGCTGTAGCTAAAGGTATCTGATGCACTCAACGTCCACTAATGGGAGACACTGGTAGACCTTTCCACCATGTTTGCCGCTTTGGTGGCCTTTGGAGCTTTTTAATGGACCTATCTGACAAAATCACTGCCTGCTGTGGTACAGACCATCCACAAAGGTTTGCTAAGTGAAGTTCTAGTATTTTAACCTCTTACTTTGTGCTTATTAGATGTCTGTACCTTCATGTCCACCCATTCAGCTTTAAAATCAAGCTGATAGCTTATCACTACATCTTATCCCAATATAGCAACTAGAGATGGACCGATCCGATATTACGTATCGGTATCGGTCTGATACTGACCCAAATTCTTGGATCGGATATCGGCGAGAAATAAAAAATGTAATCCGATCCATTAAATATCAAAAAAGCACCTCACAAAACTTGCTACACGGCGTAACCCGGCTCATAACCGTAACACATTGCAGCAGTGTGCGTCACGTGATAGAGCGGCTGTGTGCTACCAAACCAGCATTTCATCTCCGAGGACGTTTTCCCAGAGAGAAGTAAAGCAAGTGTGTAAGTTCATCTCTGAATGTTTGTAAAGCGTTCCAGCGTTAAGCTTAACAACCGATATATGGAGTGACTGCCTCTCTCCCCCTCCCTCTCCTGCTGCTACTTCAATCATGAAACTGCTTAATGATCAGCTGATCGGCTTTTCTGTCGCGAGTCCGTCTCTCTTCTTTGTTTTTGGCCCACTT